TCAGTTTTAATGAGAAACTAAAAGTCCTCCTAAAAGAGAGATTGTCCTACCCATAGCTTCATTTCCACATGAACAGGACTCTTTAGTAATAGGTAAAATGTCTACTACCTCAAATTTCCTTGACTAACTGAAGAATACGAATATTCTGTATACACACTTCAATGTCTTCTGTCACAAGCCAGAACGTGAATACAGCCACTTCCCTGAAGATAACTTGTCTGTTCCCTGCCTCCCAATGAGGGGCAAAAAATCTTACGTTATCGTTTTCCTAATACAGCATTAATTATACCATATATGTAGGACTGAATCTCTTCCTAGAAGTGTTGTCTTTCTTTTGAGTTATTTCCTGCTTAACATTTGCTTTTTACTTTTCATATTGTGGTAATACTAGACGACCCACACATGGAACAGGCTCACCTGCCCGTAGTGTACATGTAGGCAGGCATTGCATTTGCTATGGAAGAGCTTACTAAAAACGAGCACGGTAGATCATCAGATATGCAAATATTGCCAACCTCTTGCACAGAAAACCAGTAGAAGCAGCTGTGGCTTCCAGCTCCTCTTCCTGATCATGCTATTTAAGAGAGACATAGATTTGTTGGAGCGTGTTCAGAGGAGGGCCACAAAGGTGATCCAGGGGCTGGAGCACCTCCGCTACGAGGACAGGTTGCGGGAGCTGGGATTGTCCAGCCTTGAAAAGAGAAGTCTTTGGGGGGACCTAATAGCTGCCTTCCAATACCTGAAGGGAACCTACAGGAAGGCTGGGGAGGGACTTTTTACAAGAGTGTCCACTGATAGGACAAGGGGAAATGGATTTAAGTTGAAGGAGAACAGATTTAGATTAGATTTTAGGAAGAAATTCTTCCCTACGAGGGTGGTAAGACTTTGGAATAAATTGCCCAGAGAAGTTGTGGATGCCCCCTCCCTGGAGGTGTTCAAGGCCAGGTTGGATGGAGCCTTGAGTAGCCTGGTCTAGTTGAGCGGCGTCCCTGCCCATGACAGGGAGGTTGGATTAGATGATCTCTGAGGTCCCTTCCAGCCTATGCCATTCTATGATTCTATGATTTAGGTAGTGATAGGTGTGGTACTTGACAGACCATAATAAAAAAGAGGGCAACATTCAACACAGGTCTAAGTCACCTAAAATCCTGCCCCGAAGCATTTACACTAGCTATTACAGGTTTTGTTTCTGCTACACTTTCCCAGGTGTTACACTGCAACTTAATTATACAAGAGTTACTAAGGCAATATTCTATTGCATCACAGATAGCAAGATATTGGCAAACACAACCAAACACTAACAGTTCAAAACTAATCCTCAGGAAAAAAATAACTCTCTATATATTTGTACAGGAAGCCTGCCTTCCATTCGCTTTCCTCTCTATTAGGATACTTACTATCTTTTTAATGAGCACTCAAAACGCCATCCTTTAATAGCTTTATCCTTTGTTATGTCTTAGCTGGTGCTGGACTTGTATTTCAGTACTGCTGCTTTCAACCCATTCAACAGGACCGGAAAATCTTTTTCACACAGTTTGATATCCTAGCTGCCAAGAATTGCCATTTTTCCGACCCGTTTTCTCACAAAGACATTTCACTCAGCTACAGATTGTTGGATGCCTATAAGATAAAGGTAAATGCTGAGCAAAAAAGGTTACGGCTGTTTCAAAAAGGAGAAAAATCTAAACCTTGACCTAATGCTCCAGAAAAAACAGTTAGAAGTCTCATGATAACACTTTGTAATTGCAAAGCACCCTGTTTCTGATGGTTTTAAAGTGTTTTGAAAAGTCTCAAGTATTTAAGCAGGTAACTCTCTGGAAAATGCACGTTTTACCACACCCATTTTTCAGACATAAGAAATTGTATGGACTGAAAAAAAATAAAATCATGGGGATCTGTGCTGGGTTTATGTGGTGGGGTTTTGGTAGCAGGGAAAGGGCTACAGGGATAGCCCCTGTAAGGAGCTGCTAGAAGCTTCCCTGGCTCCAAGTCACATCTGTTTTGACCAAGTCAGACCTGTCTCTGGCCAGGGCTGAGCCCATCAGCACCTCTGTGAAGAACATATTTAAGAAGAGATAAAGAAACCTGCGCCATGAGGGACCTGCAGTGAAGCAGGGGGAGGCAGGGGCAGGGCCTGGCCATGACTTCCTATGAGGGCGGCTGCCCGCACCGGGCTGGTGGCCCCCCGG